TGGGCTAATGCTCTGAACTGCAAAGTTGGTTTGAATCGTACTCTTGGCATTCCAGCTCACCAGCTCTGTAGAAACTGGGTTGCTATCGGTTAGATCTGACTCGACAGCACTTAACAACAACTCCCCCTCAAAAACCCAAACCAAAAACAAGGTACAGGAAAGTCCCATGTACCCTGCATGTACCTGTCTCCCTAGTGGTAACAAGTTGTGCAGATTATAGTTGCTGTTGGTCTTATTTGCCACCAAGTCAATTCCGTCTCATGATAACCATGTGCATGCAGAATGGAACAGATTCCCAGGTGTGCTTTCTGAGGCACCTCTGTGTGGGTCTGGCTGCGTCAGCCAAGGGACAACCAGGATATTAAAACCAGGAAATCGGCATTGCTACAACCCATGGGACTGATTGGACTTTTTCAGTGTGGCATGTCTACAGGGTCGCTATGGGTCGGAACCGACTCAACGGCACTTAACAACAACAACAACAAATGTCTTCTGGAATGTGTGTGTGTTCTGTCTGTTGTGGTTAGTACCTCTTTCTCACAGGGACCTTATCTATAATAGGAGAAAACTTTGCCTGGTCCTGTGCCATTTTCATAACTGTTGGTATGTTTGAGCCCATGGTTGTAGCTAGCACATCATTGCGGTTTCTCTCGTTCTCTACCAAACACGACATGCTTTTCTAGTGACTGGTCTTTGCTGAGGACGTGTTCAAAAGTAAGACAAAGTCTCCTTACTGTGGCTTCTAGGCAACATTCTGGTTGTTTTCTTCTAAGACTGATTTGCTCATTCTGCTGGAAGCCCACAGTGTATTCCGTGTTTTTCACCAACACCACAATTCTAACACATCGGTTCTTTTTCTGTCTCCATGTCACATTGCTGTTATGATGCTCAATGGCTGACTCACTCCTATTACCACAACTGGATGTAATGACAGTGATAACGATTTGTCACATTTCCTGACTGTGCTGCCCTCTGTGCTGCCTGCTCTGCCCAGCTCTTTACAGAGGCCTCTTGTTGTGGTTGGACTGTTACCCTCCTTTCAAAGAATTTGGAAGATGTCACACACTTACCCTGTGCAAAAAAAGTTAGAAAGACAAGGGCCTTAGGGAAATGAAAGATGGATTTATTATAAGCACAGATGTTCTTACAGACAGGTAAGAATAGGCATTCACCTTGAAATAGAAAAGGAGGTGGAGCCCCAAATACAATTTGGCTTCTTCCTTCTATCTCCCTTTGTTAGGGAGTGGGTTGTACTCCTGGTTTGAGTGGCTGGGTAGCCATTTCAGGGAACTAGTCCATAGAAGGTTTCTTTGAATCCTGTTTTTTCAAGTTTCAGCTTATCATCAACAAACTTTATTTCTCTTTACAACAGTACCCCTTCTCACTTACCCCTCTTAACTAACTTAATTTTCTCTCACACAGTCTCCCTCTTTCCCACAATCCCCTTCTCAGAAACTTCTCATTGCTGAGGTTGGCTTGTTTCCTGCAGAGACAACTCTTGTTTCCTAGAGTGGCTGGAGACCCCTTCTTCTCACTACCTAAGACCCTTACAGCTATTATTCCCTTTGACAGAAAAGCAAGCTGGAGCCTAAAGAGAGTGAGCCAATTGCTCAGACTTTAGCTGATAGAACACAGTCCCTGGGTAGTGCCAACAGTTAGTATATATGACTGCTAACCGGAAAGTTGGAGGTTCAAGCTCACCCAGAAATGCCAATAAAATAAAAATAAAATAAAGGTCTGGAATTATATTTCAGAAAACCTAGTCATTGAAAAAAAGCACCCCATTGGAGCACAGTTGTACTCTGACACACATTGGGGTGCCATGAATGTAATCTGACTTGCCGGACAACTGGTTATACAGAAGAACAAAGGGAAGTCCGACTTGCCCCTCCATCTGCCTGATTCCCAGAGAACACATTCCCTACCACATCTTTACCACTCAAACGCCCAGCTTCTTCATCCCTGCCCCACCATCCACAATGGTTCTAAGCCAAAAGGAAGATTCTGAAATCCTCCCTTATACTGTTTCAAGTGTCTGTGAGCCCCAGGCTCCAAACCTGTTCACAGACTCCTGACCAGGTTCCTGCTGTGTTTCCTCCTGCTCTGCTTGGCTTTTAGGGGGAATTGGAACTATCTCTGCAGTTGTAGTGCTTGGAGGAAGTGTTCTCGACCCACCTCTCCTCCCTTTGGAGAAAGAATGTCTTTACACACCCCAGAGAAAGTCTTAAATTACCTTTTGCTACATCCACATCTGCTTTCATTTCATCTCTCACACCTATAAACAGGGGAGATGAAGGACCACCATGCTTTCTGAATCCTCTTAGTCTCAGAAACAATGTAATTACTACATTTTTTCCCCCCTCTTTTTCTAATCACAGGATACTTCGCTGAGCAATCAATGTAGTTATTGATTTGATTAGTCTCTCACTCTCCCCTTCCAATAGCTCTTTGAAGCCTAGCTTTGGTGTGGAAGCTGTTCTGCTTCAAACTGCTAGCTGTTGTTGTTAAGTGCCGTTGAGTCAGTTCCAACTCATAGCAACTCTATATAGGGTTTTCAAGGAGCAGCTGGTGAGTTTGAACTGCCGGCTCTATGGTTCAAATCAACCTTGCAGTCCAGTGTTTATCCCACAGCCCCACACCAGGACTCAAACTGTTTAAGATGCCTCTTAGGAGACTTGTCATTTACCCTCCCTGCAAACATTTTAAAGCACAAGTGAATGGGATGGTAAAATAGTGCTGTCATTATTTATCTAGTTGCTTCTGCCATTAAAAATCTTCCTTTCCTTAGTTTAAAACTCCCTCATAAGATGAGTTGTGGAGCACAGTGGCTCTGTAGGATAAGCACTGAACTGTGAATTACTAGGTTGGTGGTTTGAGCCCACCAGCTGCTCCAAAGAAGAAAGATAAGACTGCTCCCACAAAGATTTATAGCCTCAGAAACTCTATGCAATGTTGCTAGGGGAACAAATGTTGCTATGGGAACCAACTGTCACTTAAGAAGAAGAAAATGGATGTCACCTACTTTATCCCTACTCGCTGCTCTCTCCTCTTTCCATGTCTGGATTCACTCAGCAACCACCTGAAAGTCCTTGGGATATATTAGTTCTCAAACAAGCTGCAATAACAGAAATACACGCATGTGACTTGAACAAGCATACAGTTATTTTCTCACACTTGGTTGCTAGGTACCGTCGAGTCAGTGCTGATCCATAGTGACCCTATGTATAGCCCTCTGTATGGATTGCACCTCAATGTAAAGAAAACAAAAATCCTCACCACTGGACCAACAAATAACATCGTGATAAGTTGAGAAAAGACTGAAGTTGACCAAGATTTCATTTTGCTTGAATGCACTGTCAACACTCATGGAAGCAGGAGTCAAGAAAGAAAACGATGTATTATTGCCTTAGGTAAATCTGCTGGAAAAGTCCTAAAATGTTAAAGGGCAAAGATACCAGTTTGAGGATTAAGGCATCCATTAAGGTGCCTGACTTAAGTCTCTCACACTTTGGATACCTAGCTGGAGAGACCAGTACCTGGAGAAGGACATCATGCTTGGTAAAGTGGAGGGCCAGTGGGGAAAAAAAAAAGACCTCCAACTGCATGAATCAACAAAGTGGCAGCAACAATGGGCTCAAACATAACAATTGTGAGGCTGGTACAGGAGTGGGCAGTGATTCCTTCTGTTAGGCAGACGGTCACTATGAGTTGGAACCAACGGACACAACAATTGTTTCTTTGGAGTCCCTGGGTAAGGGCAAACATTTAGGTGCTTGGCTATGGCTATGTATGTGTGGTTGACTTTTTGAAGTCACCCAGAGGTGCCTTGGAAGGCCTGGTAATTGACTTCTGAAACGTCATAGTCATTGAAAACTTTAGGGAGTACATACAATTTTATTGACACACATGGGATACCAGGAAGCTGAATCTATTCGACAAAAATGGGTCTGGGTTTTAGATGATATTCTGAACACTGTTCTAGAGATTCGTGGATACGGCCACAAAAACCAAGGCTTGTCCTCTAGGGAGTTTGCATTTCTGTGGGTGGTGGTGGTGGTTATGTGCCACGGAGTCGGTTTGGTTCAGACTCATAGAGACCTTGTACAGGGTTTCCGGGGCTGTAAATATTTACAGGAGCAGAAAGCCTCATCTTACTCCCACGAAACAGCTGGAAGTTTCGAACTGCTGACCCTGAGGTTAGCAGCCCGATTCGTAAGAAGGATATCATGTTTGGTAAGGTGGAGGGTCAGAGAAAAAGAGGAAGATCCCCAACGAGATGAATTGGACAAGTGGCATCATCGATGGACTCAAACGTGGCAACAGTAGTGAGGTTGGCCCAGGATCTGACAGTGTTTTGTTTTGCTGTGCATAAGGTCGCTATGGGTCAGTACCGACTCGATGGCACCTAACAATAACAACAACAACAACGTTACCAGAGTTCCTTAAATCTATTGAAGGGGAAGGTATAAATAAACAAATGTCTTTCAGGTCAGCTGGTTATTAATGTTAAAAATGACAATTCTGTAGTGTTCAGGAGTAAAGGAATGGGCATTGCTATTTTACATGTTGCTAAGTGCAACTGAGTTGGTTGTGACCTATAGCAACCTTGTTTAGGGTTGCCAACTAATGTTTGGTGGATTTGAACCGCCAACCTTGAAATTAGAAGCCCAATGCTTATCCTACAGCACCACGTTGAAATGTGTGAAGGGCAGGAAGAAAGGTTCTGGGATCTCACAAACACGATCTGAGTTAGATTGGAGCTCAGGTTGGACCTCTATGCACACCTCAAGAGGACTGAACCAGAGCAACTAAAGCCCTTCTCTTCTTTCAAAGAAATCCACACACTTGAGCCGAAGTTCCTCCCTCCATAATTAGACCAATCAGATGCAAGTAAGGCGGGGCTAGTTTTCAATACTGCCTTTTCCTGCCGCGTTGACCTTGCTGCGCACGCGCAAACCATCGGCAGCGGCCTTTGGGACTCGCGTTCGTGCGAGTGGTAGTTCTTGTCCCAACGCTTTGCCGTACCGTCTAGGCGGCGAGTTGCATCCTGGTTCTGTCGGGTCCACTGGGTGTGCCCCTGTGAGGCAGCGTGCCTGTCGCCACAGCCCCGGTCACCGTCATGAATCACGAGAGCTTCGCCGCGGGCGAGCGGCTGGTGTCGCCGGCTTACGTGCGGCAGGGTTGTGAGGCCCGCCGCTCTCATGAACACCTCATACGGCTGCTTTTGGAGAAGGTACCGAGGTGTCTGGCGGTCCTGTCCCGGCCCGCGTGTGCCAGGCCCTGTCGTACCTCACGCTCTTAGCTCCTTGAGGGTGGTTTTTTGACAGTTAGGAGCCAGCAGCGCTTACCTCCTCGTCACTCTAGCCAAAGCCAGCGAAACCCAGAGGCTGTTAATTGGGGCTATTTAGCATCGATAACTTGTGCTCTGCTTTTTCTAACTTCCGGATGCGGATTTAGGGAAATGTCCCCCGTTAGGTAATTCTTTTGTTTACGGAAAGGGCAGAGTTCGCTCCCTGGGTATTTCACCACTCACTCCCCTGGACTCTGGCCCCGCGTTGTGTTTGTAAACCACCCTGTGTTAATTCGGACGAAGTGCTGCCGCAGAATCCGCATGTCTCCCTCCTACCACTAGCCCTAACTTGGGAGCTCACTGGTTTGACACCCCTGAGTGATAGCACCCTGGCTTAGGAGAGCCGTCGTTAAGGAATATGGAATAAACCAAGCACCTGGGAAGGTTTTCAGTTACTTTAATTTTCTGCAACCTTGAAATCAGAGTAAACACATACATTTGTCGCCACACCTCCCAGTCTGCAGATCATTGTGTTGAATGTAACACCAACTTTTTATTGTTGTTAATGAGGTTATTTTTTCAATAGTGCTGAACTGAAGTGTAGAGGTATGGAGAAATACACATGAAAACGTTTGCAAATTCATTGGGAAGGGGAATTGTCTTTAAACGTAACGATATGCTTTGTATCTCTGTTTTTAAAGGGCAAGTGTCCAGAGGATGGCTGGGCTGAAAGCACCCTTGAACTCTTTCTACATGAACTTGCTATCCTGGATTCCAACAATTTCCTGGGCAATTGTGGAGTGGGAGAAAGGGAAGGAAGAGTGGCATCTGCATTAGTAGCTCGCCGCCATTATAGGTGTGTGTTTCTGTTGTGGTGTTAGGTGTACTTGAGTCTGTCCTACCTCATACCCACCCTGTGCTGTCCTTACAGTCATTGTGTGTGAGCTCGTTGTT